TCTCTCTCTCTCTCTCTCTCTCTCTCTCTCTCTCTCTCTCTCTCTCTCTCTATTTCTCTCTCTCGACGAAATGGAAATGTACTTCAGGTTTTTTTTTTATTGTTGTCTCTTCGTAGATATCAATTCTTGCTCTCATTTATTGCACGCTATTGCAAAAGGTGTCTCACATGGAGGTCGCTATCGTTATCGCGTAAATGATGTTTACAGCCTGTGTTATGTTGTTCGAAGAAATTTATAGAACAAGAATCGCGGCGTAAAATGATTCGATGATTTCAACGTGTTTTTCATATATACGTAGATGTAGTCGCGTATTTCCTATTAGCTATTAAACTATTCATATCTGGCCGATTATGCATGTAAATAACAGAAATATCATAAACAACTTGATGATGTCAATGAGCACAAGCAGCAACAACACGGTAAAAATAACACAGTAAAAATTGATTAATCGTTTATTTCGCGATGAGGAGCGTTTGCTCCACTCAAGAAAATTTCAAAGAACACTGCTGCACGTTTACGATTGAATTTGGAGAAGCTTAAAAATATACGAGAAGTTTGCAGAAAGATTTCTGTATATGAGTGGTTGTGTTTTTCGCTAAATATGATCAAAATGGCACATATTTATATAACATTGATTTACAAGAAGTATATGACAAAAATAATATGAACATGTCAGTGTTTCTGACACGACAACTTGACAGTCGCCTGTACATTATCGACATTGTTAGAAGTTCGAAGTCCTTTTACGTACAATAAACATTAGTACCTAACGAATATAGATATTTTTTATCTTTTATCTATTTTTTCTCTCAGTATACGTACGAGTTTGCTGTAAAAATACACTAAGAAAAAAATACTTGAAAATTTATTTGTGTGGGATATAAAGTTTTTACATAGAGCAAAAGTAAAGAAATTTTTACGTAGAGAAATTATATTTTATATAATTATATTTTACTTTTTACATATAGAGAAGTTATAAAGTATTTACATAGAGAAATGAGCTTTATTTGACTGAAATAAACTTTCTTGCACGTAAATAAACTATACATTCCACAAATAAATTTTCAAGCATTTTTTTCTCAGCGTACCCGTCGAAGTGGCATTCGAAGCCGTACAATTTGCCAGGGGCGAACGACTAAGCCGTGTCCTAGAACGTCGCGTAGTTTCCCGCGTTTTGTCTCTCGCGCTTCTTGAATTAGCCGTGGTGGTAGTGGTAAGTTTATGTCGCGTCCGCGCGCGCCTATCCGCATATTCATTCATCGGAAGGAATATACAGCGACTGGAATGCACGTAATAAAAGGGCATCGCGACGCTCCGGATCCCTCTCTTTGCGAAACAGAGGGACGTTAAAACACCTCCGCCTCGAGTTATTTTCGAAGCCTGTCTACAGGTATAATGAGCTTTTCCAGATTAACTTGACCACTAGCCTCACGACGACCTTCCCCTACTGTATGTCGGTGATTCTGCGCGTGTGTACGTGTATCTGTTTATGTAAGCTTACCTTATGTTACCTTCGTACCCTTGTACTGACGTCGCAAGGGACGGGGAGAGTATCGATTTTGGCGAACTCGATACTCGCGTACCTTAGAATCACTGGTATATTTATTTACCGGCTTGTGTTCGCGGTAACCGATCGCACGATAGCCTCATTGGCGCACATTGAGCCACATTTCGACTCCGGCGACTGTGTGTCATTTCATTCTAATAGGATGATACTCGAATATCGATTTGATTATTTCATTGGACGACTGACTTACGGGTAAACATTTGCGCCGTACGTTCGCAAACAATCGGCAATTGCCTCTTATCTCGCGTAATTGTTCGGCATATCTCATGGACATCTCGCCGTACCTTGGAATATCTCGCTAACACTGATAATTCCGATAATATTACACAAAAAATACACGAATTCAAAGTTCAATAACACCTCGGCGCTGTTGAGCAGCGCACTCGCGAGAGACAACATTTAAACGATTCGTCACCATTTCAATCCTTTAATATCGTCGTTGCCCTAAGGCGACATGTACTTTAAATCGATGCAAACTAATCGATATTTCTCGCCGCCAAACCATCAATTATTGACAACTCTGTCTTGCATGATTCGTCGACGAGATTTTAATCCTATTACTTGGTTGTAGCAGTAAAAACTAATAAACTATCGGCACTCGTCGTCTCTCCACTTCGACACTGGCCGTTCCATAAATAATCGCAATTTACTGATATTGTATTTATTTGGACTATACAGAATATTCTTGTGCATTATTACGATGTATGAAAAGTAGAAAATTATTATTATGCAGAATATAATTTGCACTGATAATAATGCAGCATATCAAAGGGTTGTTTCGCTGAAACCATATTTTAATTTCTCCAAAATGGTTTATTAGAAAATTATGAAAAATATCAGATATCATCTTTATGTTACTAGGATCAATAATGAATAGAGAAAAAATTGTTCTTGCGAATAGAATTAATTCAGGGTTGAAATTCGTAAGCTATACATCATCCATTAAAGCGCTCACTGTTCTCAAAACAAGAACATTACGACATATTACGATGTTATTGTATTTGTTGAATTCTCGATTTCATCATATTCCAGTGATACTTCGCGAGGCTCTGACGTATACTTTCCGGTTTACTGAATTAATATTTATCTGATTTCGTGACATTTCGGCATGTATTAATAGTCAACACACTGGAAACCAGTGTTGGGTATTAATGATATAGGCGATTATAGATATAGACCCGTATTAATATTTATTGTGTTATGCTTCAAGTGATATATTCAGGCTCGTATTAATAGTCGTTACATGAAACTTGTTCTACGTAAAATACTCAGATATAAATTTAGAGTTAAATGAGCGTTTTCTTTATTTAAATGATATCATGGAGATAAGAAATAACAAGAGAGAGAATATTCTCCCCTTGGCCTGTTTTAGTAGACAAGAGGGGAACAGTATGCGCCATATTGATATTGTTTATATCAAAGCGCGACAATAAAATATAAAACGCCATACTGTAGCTAACCAATCACGTAGCATACTTACCCTCACTACCTAAAAAGCTTTACCCTCCCTTTTGTTATTTCTTACCTCCATGAATTTTATATGTGACAATACATTTGCAATCGCGATTCAACTGAGAAACTCAGATCTAACTCTAAATTAAAATCTGAGTGTCCTATCTGAAGCAAGTTTCAAGTAACGACTATTATTACTTAGGAGCTTTTTATTTGGATCGCGATTGTAGATATCGATTGTAAATATCACATATATAGTAATTCAACTGAAAAATTTTAATCTAATTCTTAATAAAAATCTGAGTATCTCACATTACAAGTGACAGCTATTAATACGGACTTTAGTCGAGTTGTTTCTTAAAACAAATCTTCAGCTGCTATAATCCTTCCAAGAGGAATATACGTTCTGTTCCGACAGAATCAGAACATATAATCGCTTTGTTCTCTTTTTTTCCCCTCTTTCTCTCTCTCTCTCTCATCACTTGTGTATAGTTCTCGGTTCAGATTTCTGATCTAGCTTCACGTTAGGACGGTCGATGATCCATAAAACATCCATGAACTTACGCGTCCGGTTCCACGTTTCGCGGCCGGTGCGTCGTAAAACGTAATGTAATGACAGAGCGGCTCCCTCATATTTTAGAGGTTACCCCCTACGCAAAAAAGTATGATGAAGAACGGGATGTTGAAACAGAGGAAGCGCCACAAAGAGGAGAACTCGCCGTCGATCGGCCACCTCGCTGGCGACCGTCCAAACTCCTCGGCGTCGAGGACCGCCTGCTTCACCGGCATACGCACTATATTTAAACGCAGTCGAGGATCTTTGCGGAGGATGGGCCTTGCTCTTTCGTGGCGAGGCGAGACGATGTCGATGCCGCATTTGTGTTGTCAGCATGAACAGGATACACTCGTGCCACGATTTTACGCAGTTCCATTTTTCTGTCTCAAGTTCTTCGCTAGTTATCTAAAGTCAAGAGTGATAAGGACGTATTTCTATATGAACGATAAATTCCTTGGTTCGAACTCGAACAGCAATGTGTAATAAAATGAGAAAAAAACAGATTTCCCTGATTTCTCTTGTTGATATTTAATATCAAAAAGAAGCGTCGAAAATTTACTCTCCAAATATCTTGCAGTGAAATTTTACTCCAAAAGTAGTCAACTACCGAGTCATTCGAATTTACTCGAGTGATTTTTCACTCATACGAAGTAAATTTTCTCCTCTGAATGCTCGAGGGACTATTCTTGCTCGAAATTGAAGAAATAGTGAGTTTAATGCACTTCATCGTTACAGGAACATATTCATTTTAATCGATTGAAGCATTCGTTCATATGCTCCCTAAAGTACAATCAGTATATTCTTCACTGAAATGCTATACTTATAACTGGCGGTTTAATTGTAAGCATAGCGCTACTGCAGTAAGTAAAATATCGCTAAGAGAATCAGCTAATATAGTAGCGACTGTTACCATTATTCATGCAAACTGTTGTGATTGCAAACACAAACAGTGATGATACACTGATAGTCAGTGAAATACTCTTTGTACTGAATCAATTTGAAACGTTTTTACTGATTCACTTTAAGGAAGTGGAATCAGAATCCACTTCAAGCTTGAGTGAAACATTTACTTTTGCGATTTTGAGTGGCGATATTTTCACTCTTCACTCGTTTTAAACGAGACTCTACTCTCTAATTTTTTTTTAAATTAACAGTATTTTTACTCGAGGCGATAGTGAAAGAGTACTACTACTGGGAACCGTAGTAAGTGTATGTTTCACTCTAGATTAGAGCGGTTTTTGACCTCATATGAACAGATGTTTTAATCGATTGGAATGAATGTGTTTTCCCGGCAATAGAATGCATCAGATTTACTCTTCACAATTTCGAGTAAAAATATTCACATTTCAGAATGAAGAATTTACTCTGCAGGAGTGAAAAATAACTCGAATTCGAGTAACTCGGCTGTCGCTTTACTTTTCGATTAAAATTTCACTCTAAGAAATTTAAGGAATAAATATGAAAATATTATTATTATTTTTATTGTTATCATTTGAGTAATTTGCGCTTTTCTACTGAACACGGCTCTGACAAAAAATCCAGCTCGATAATTCAAATAATCGATAATCCGTTTAATATTCAACAAAATTTCTGTATCGATAAATATGCCGATATTAAATGAATATTCATTTGTGTACAATTCAGTATACTTTGATATTCAGACTACCAAGCTACCAAGTATTTCCTGTTTTAATCACGCTTGACGATGCATGCATCCGAGCGACTGGTTTCCCAAAATTTCAAGCATTCCATCCCGGACACCTAATTATGGTATCTGGATCGATTATCCGGATGTTACATACTCGGGATGAGCATGAGCGATATTGACAACGTGCATCTCGTCTCTGCCACCTTCCCATCTCTCTCTCTCTTTTTCTATCTATCTATCTTTCTCCCTCTCTGTTGGGGGCATCGCGAAAAGCAACGGCGAACGCCTACGACGGCACACCGTCGTCCGCGTGACACCCGCGCCGCGAGCCAAAAGCTCTGGCCGAAAGCTCGGCCGCAAGCTGTGGCGCGGCCAAAATTCAGTGGCCGCGAGCGTGTTGGTCCGGATAGTCCGATCTGTGGTCCATCTTACCTAACGTGAACACACACCTTGCTGGTTTACGGAGTTACGCGCGAAGAGTCCCTTGACGAGAGAAGTTCGAGTCCGAGAAGCCGTCGACGACGGCGTGTGGCGCGGCCGTTGAGTGTTCGTGTTACGTGCGTGCAGCATGTCGTCGAGCTGCTTCTTCCACGAGCCGATTCGTCCGCCGATAGATCTCAACGACCAGTCCGACACAGTCAAGGTGCACAGAAAAATAGTTTCCCTTCCTCGTCTTCGTCTTCGAGACGCTCCCGCTGCGATTCAAGCGCTGCGACTCTCGCAGCCTCGACTCGTCCGGCGCGAATCGCGAGAATCAAGGCTTGCGTAAAGCCCTCGAGCGGACACTCGCGAGACACACCGAGTCCGTTCCTCTTAGTTGCGCTTTTTATATTTTCGTATGATTTTCCTCTCTCCTCAGTCTTCCTCAAAAAATATGCTCGAGCATGTATCTCGTTTGGAGCGCGAGAAGCTCTAGATATCGCGGCTCCACCGAACAGATCTGGAGAATCTCGATGAGTTTTCCATAAAGAGCGGATGATCTCTTCGAGATGAATTGAAAGGAGCTGAACAGGATTTCGCGCGAAGAAACTGGGGTGGGTTGATCTCCTTTTTTTGAAAACTCCAGAATATTACTCTCATAAAAGTTCGAATCTATATATATATATATATATATATATATATTTTTTTTTTAGACGGATTCTAAACAAATGGATTGTACTGTTCTATCACACTAAAATTCCCGTTCATTTCGGCGAGATCGAACGTTTAATCTCCGAATGTGGTCGGATCTAGATTAGTTGGATTATCTTCTGTCGCGTCTCCCCTTTGCCGAAATATTGGCGACAGAATAAGCGCTGCGACTAAACGCTGGAGGGAGACGTGAAATAGGCATATGCATATTTTAAATTCGAATTATTTCTGTATTTTTTTTTCTTTTTTTTTTTGTAACCCGTGGTTGCGCTCGAACTTTAATTAAATTTGAGAAAGTCTCAAGACGCAAGAAATTGTAAATTGTGCGCGGAATTTTTCAATATGCGTTTAATAGTGTGTCACATTCGTTTTTATAACTCATATCGCACTTGGTATACTATTTGAAAGCGACGAATGACCGCGAGTTACATATTTCACGTTTACGCGTGCAACTTTGAATCGAAGCATCTCTCGTGACTGTTGGACGTTATAAAAGTGCGGGTCATCGAGGAATATTGTAATAATTGAAACGTATAGCGTAACTCACACACGTGCGGCAGTGGATCGACACGCGAGAAAGTTTTTTTTTTTTCACGCACTACGGTGCACATAACTTTTTATGAAATTTCCTCGTGAAATTTTTCGGAACCAGATCGAAAATTACGTTGAATTCCGCCAGAGGCAAAGTTCTCTTCAATTTAAACAGCGAATATATAGAATATTTCGTAAAATTTTCAGAATTTCTCAAATCTCTTTCAATTTCACTATTATAATATATTGGAGATTATATTCTCGAAACATTAATTTATATTATAGGGAGATGAGTCTTGTGATGAGATTAAAAGAGATATCACCTTTTTTCCAATAAGTGTAATAAAATTTATTACGTTAGAGAAAGAATTTATTAAATTGGAAGGAAAATAATGTCTTTTCTAATTTCACCATATGTATCTCCTGATATAATATCAATTAATTTTTAAAATTTAATCTTGAAAATAATAATAGCCGTTGTTTCTCACCACCGTCGCAAGTTCTCGAAAAATCCATTTCTTCCGATTCCGACTATGACGTTAAGATGAAATGTCTATGACGTTAAGATGAAAGCACCAATGCCCGGACACGACGTGTCTAATCCTGGACATTCTTATTCGGTTTTCAAATATGGACTTACTTTGGTAAAATGAACGTTAGTATTTGAATCCACGCATTTTAACTTTCAGCAAAGAAATACATACGCGCATATTCAGAATATACGCGTACATTCAATGTTATCTTAGAGTCTGTGAGAATGTTGAAAGCTTAAATGTTCGTATTTAAAGTCCAAAACGAAATACGAATGTTCAGCGTTTGGCAGACGTCCGGGAATTAATGTTTTCACTTTACCTTCTTTGCATCAATCAGCAAAAAGAACACCGTCACGATAATGTCAGAAGGTACACGTCCGTTGCCTCAGTTGATCTCGGTGTACACGGCTCGTGATTTCGCCGGCGATTGCATCGAGAACGTGGGTGGTTGGGTTAGTTGGACGTGGCGCGCGCTCGACGTCCGGGCCGAAAGAAGAACGTGCGTCGGTCGGTAGCGAGATCGATATATTCGCACAGGCGAGTGTATACGCACCACGACACGCACGTAACTGCGTTTCCCTTCAGCTGCGCCGCGCGCCCTTCGCCCGCACCTTCGCGCCTGCCTCGCGATCCGCGCGCGTAATCAGCTGCTCCGCGTCGATACGCGAAGTCCGCGTTGCCCGGCTAAATTTAACGTTGCACTTGCCGCGCGCGCGTTTACGTAATTCGCTGACGAACTACATGCTGGACCTCATGTGGCGGCAGGCGAAGAGAGAAAGAGAGAGAGAGAGAGAGAGAGAGAGTAGAATAGAATAGAATGGAGTAGTATAAAATAGATTAGATAGAGTTTATTAAAAATATCCTGGGGTTTACATCCTCTAAAAATGAGAGTATTTTGTAGCATGTTGGAATACTTGAGTTCGCGCATTAGTATATACTTCCAAGTAAACCTGTCCAAAAGGTACACTCCGATTTTTCTTTAATTTGGTACAAATATAGAAGTACAAAAAATATTTAGGTCATATTTTCCATTCTGGCCCACTTTGAGTTTCACGGGCAATTCACTGATTATGAAGTCGTGAATTATGTCATGATTATGAATATGAAGTCAAATGTGTAAAATTATTTGTATAAATAATAAAATGTTTAAATGTAAGAAACATTAAGAAGTTGAAAAAAATTATTTATACAAATAATTTCTCAGTTTGGTCGAGATTTGAACCATTTTTGACTAATTTAGCACAGATTTAAAATATTTCGGTTGGAATCTCGGCTAAAAAAATTTAGCAAGATTCGTGCATCTCAGCTATGTTGATTTTGTTAAAATTTAAATTAAAATTGCCGGATTTTTCGGTCTGGCCGAGATTCAAAACATTTTTGACTAATTTAGCACAGATTAAAAATATTTTGGTTGAAATTTCGACTAAAAAAATTTAGAATAATTCGTGTTTCAGCTATGCCGATTTTATTAAAATTATTTAACTATATCTTGTATTCAATTTTATTTCTTATGCATTTTTGTTGTACTTGTTGATGATAGGAGTGAGAACATTAAAAAGCTATAAACTGTCCGTGAAATTTAAAGTGAGCCAAAATGAAAAAATATTTTTTGACCTAAATATTTTTTTTATATTTCTACGTGTACCAAATTAGAAAGAAATTAGATTATACCACCTTTTGGGTAGGTTTGTAATATAGTATTTGTATTACTTGTTAGTAATATATTAGTTATATCAAAATTATGTAAAATTTTATAATAATAAATAGTGATAGTAATAAGTGTAAGATTTTACAATAAAAAATAGTAATTATTTCGTGAAAACGCAATTATTTCATGAAGATAAGAAAAATATTACTATAATAATTGATAATTATTTCATAGGAAATAGTATATTTAATAAGAAAATGGAAAAGAAAAGAAATGGAAAAATTCAAATGCAAAAGAGAAAAAGTACATAAGAGAAAAACGCATATGCCGCATTAATAAAGTGTCATAGAAAAATAATTATAAGATAATAGTATAGGCACAGTTTTAATTGTGTGCGTGTGAGAGAGAAAGACTCGTGTTTCGTTTCCTTCTTTTCAAGTTTCCGTTTCCACTGTGTTCATAGGGCGACGATCTCATCCGGGTATCGAGGTTCTATAAGGACAGCAAGGAGGGCAAGTTCGTCAGCTTCCTCAACGAGGATACGCGCACGCTTTACGACGGCTTCCGTCGCGGCGCCAAGGAATCCAGTAAGCGCTCATTATTTAGCAAAAAAAAAAGAAAAAAAGATGGAGCTATTAGCCGTAGATCGGAGCTGTTTCCGCGAGCGTTAATCGAGGTTAGCCGAGCTCCCGATCGATCGCTCGGCGATTGCTCAGTCGCCGCGCCACAGTTAACTTCAATTAATATTTATAGTTACGCGAAGACATGCCGACGTGAAGTCGTACACTTGGAAAAAAAAACTCGTTCCAGGTCGAAATTAAGAAAACAATAAAAGAAAACAAACGAAGAGTAACGAACATTAGAAAGATTCGTATTGCGAAATTTTCTCTTCCGCAACTTTCCAGCGCGCGATTCGCACCTGTCTAGATATGAATTTAAGATACGGCCTGTGGGAAGGTAAAGCGCTTCAGTTGCGTACGTTGATTTAGCGGCTCGTTTGGCAAGCGCGGCACAGTCACGCTATAAAGCAGTAAACAAGCGGTACACGAGCAGCTTCTTAACAAGCGCGAGCGTGGCTTAACGACGCGAATTATCGACGGCGATATTCGCCCCCACGCGTCCGCCGATTCGACGACCTTTGCGTCGAAGGTTGGCAGCTATTTTCAGTACGTGTACATCTCTTATTTTTGCCTCAGGGCGCGCATGAAGCACGCCCGCACAACCGACACCTGTCGCGGCTCTACGCGAGGCTCATATTTTACGGAAACGGCAACGACGACGACAATGACGCGTTCAAAGATAATCGATAATCACGCTGGGAGTCACGTTCGCCCGACGGTCGTACGATGAGATCGCCGCTGGTCACCCGGCACATGGCCTCGTTTGCCGTTCTACGTCGATGTGGAGATTCGTTACAATGTTACGTCGCCGCGGAGAGAAGGCTCGCTTAATTAATTCATTAAATTCTCCAGATTTTATCCGCTTCGCGCTATATGGCGTAAAATAGAACCTCGTAGTCGCGAGCCGCTTCACAGTCCTTTTGTGTGACAAAGTATTCTATTAGGTCAGAAAATTCGTCAGAGAGTTCGTCAAGATTTCCAATAAATGTAACCGTCATTACTTGATTGACGAGTCACTTGTTTCCGTTTGACGTGTTCACGAATCTAATTCGACTGAAAAGTCGAACCCAATTTTTTAACCGACCCAATATTGCACATACAGTCGGCTGATTAAAGTTTGCAACACTTTTCCTCAATGTGTCTCGTAACGTATATTGTATTTAATAGGAGAATTTTTTTTTAATACAAAGAACACAATTTGCTGTAACCACTTCTATGGTTAGCAAAAATATATGCAAATTCAAGTTAAATAGATATTGTATTAAAAATTGCTACATTATGTACTGATCTATACAGCATACTGATCTTTTCATAGCATATAGTTTTCGTGATACATAATGTTCAATTAGTGTATCCTCATATGTAGCTTTCTTAACAGAAAAAATATCGCTGTTCTCTCTGTCGCGATCTGCAGAACGGATACTGTGGTTGAGAGACCCGTAGGTTTTGATTGTGCCCCATAACACTAAAACCTGATCTACAATTTACTCTTTACTTTCCACTTCTTGTTCTCTATTTCTAGCTTAAGATTTAATTTGGAAAAAGATAAAAAGAAAGAAAGACGAAGCAAAGAGCACGTTGTAAGTCAGGCTTGAGAGTTCCGCTCAAACATGTATGGACAAGCAGCAAAGAAGGCCAGTGTGCCAATTCCAGAGTACTATGGTTTCTACAAGCCTTTTGTATGTACGGACGAAAGATGAAACTTTATTGTGTTGCGGTATATTTAGCTAAGTGATCCCCGCGATTCTCATACGGAAAAAAATATCAATTTGTGCAACCGAATAGAGGCCAGAATGAAAACATTCTTTCGAGCATCCAGCTTAGTTTTGCTTACTTGATTGTATCAAAACAAAACTGAGAACAATTGACTAACAAGTAAACCTACCTAAAAGTTACACTCCGATTTCTTTTTAATTTGGCACAAATGTAAAAGTATAAAAAATATTTAGGTCATATTTTTTCATTTTGGTTCACTTTGTATTTCACGAGCAATTTATAGCTTTTTAATGTTCTCACTCTTATCATCAAGTGCAACAAAAATGTATAAGAAATAAAATTGAATACAAGATATAGGCGTTTTTAGTTTGCTGATTATAAATATAAAGTCAAATATGTAAAATTATTTGTATAAATAATAAGATGTTTAAATAAAACATGTAAAAAGTTGAAAAAAATTATTTATATCAATAATTTCTTGATTTGGTCGAGATTCGAACCATTTTTGACTAATTTAGCACAGATTTCAATATTCTGGTTGGAATCTCGGCTAAAGAGATTTAGAATGATTCGTATCTCAGCTATGTCGATTTTATTAAAATTATTTAACTGTATCTTGTATTTCAATTTTATGTATTTTTTTATACTTGTTGATGATAGGAGTACAAACATTAAGAAGCTATAAACTGCCCGTGAAACTCAAAGTGGGCCAAAATGAAAAAATATAACCTAAATATTTTTTGTACTTCTAGAAGTACGAATTCTTCTAGTAATACTTCTAGAAGTACGAAGATTTCTACTCGTAGAAATCGGTGTGTACCTTTTGGATAGGTTTACTTGTGAGAAGTCTCCTACAGGAATCTTTCCGTTCCTAAACGAGTTTTTATCTGGTCCCTATTCTTGTCAGGTAACAGAAAATTCAATTGTACTGATGGGATCATCTTTTCTGTGCAGAAAATATAGTTCCGTATCCCATTGGATACGGAATGCGTTGTAAGACTCGTCGATGAAATGTGTTGCAAGTTTTAATCAGCAGACTGTACATTTCTCTTCATCGATACTAAAGACACCCGCCTCGAATCGATCTCACCCCTCTCTCCAATATCGAACGGGTTAATACGAATGACTTCGGTTTGCAGATAATGGTCCCTGTCTTGGGTGGCGAGATGGGCCCAACAAACCCTACCAATGGCTTCATTACAACGAGACGCTGCTCAGGGCGAAGAATTTCGGTTCCGGCCTAGTATCCTTGGGGTTAGTCCCTGGCACGCAAACCCTCATAGGCCTGTACAGTCAGAACTGTCCCGAGTGGATTCTCACCGAGCAAGCATGCTACACGTATTCTCTCGTGGTGGTGCCATTGTACGACACCTTGGGCCCGGACGCCTGCGCGTATATCATCAACCAAGCCGATATCAACGTGGTGGTGTGCGAGGACGACCAAAAGTGCAATTTACTCCTCGACAAAGCGCCGAGGTATGTAGCTACGACGATCTAACACTCTCGTGATACATTAATCCGGTGTCCCGGATGCGCTGGCTTTATCCAGCTACGCGTAAATTTTACGATGAATTCTTCCGCGTAACCTCGTAACTATCGATTTGTTGATTCTCAGACATCCTCCTATACGGCTCGTTTGCCCCCGGACGCGCGATTTCCGACGTTCTCCGCGGTAACAATCGACACATACTCTCATGAAACGCATTCACTCGGCGTTGTCACACAAACGCGAGGTCTGTTATATCGGTGTTATCGATTATTGACAGAGTTACGACCGTTCAAATATTAAGCTGGACTTAATACAGCGTGTCGCACTGAAGGGAAGAGATCGCGCCTACAATTTAGCCAAGTTAAATCGATCGTGCGATAATTTATGCACAAGTGTATATTCTTAGATTATTGAGGTAAACTTCTCCTTAAGTGGTGGACGAGGGAGGTGTGATAATTTTACGCTCGTGCGCAACAACGTTCAGAGGAGAACGTCTCGCGAAACGTCTCCGCACGCTCGCAGATATGCGCTGAGAGTATCTGTGCCGGTGTATCCGCGTCATTTTTTACTCTGACACGAATCCTTCGACGGATTTAGAGTCTATCAGAACCAGATGCAATCACTTTCGTTCGAAGCATCAGTTGCCCGAGAACAAACACCCCGCCGCCGCCGGCTGCTTCGCCGGAGAACATCGCAAACACGAAAGAGTGATGCATCGAGAACGTTAATTTGTAACGCTGCCAAGAACGGGTCCCGTTTTTGCGGGTCTCTTCCCTTCTCTCTCTTAGAAGAAGAACCTCCCGTCGTTCCGTCCATCATTGTTTCTCAACCTCGACAGGTGTTTACGGAAGCTAGTGGTCGTGAAGGAGACGCGGCCGGCGACGAACCAGCGGGCGAAGAACCGCGGCGTCGAGCTGTACAAGTTCGATGACATCGAACGTTTGGGCGCGCAGAAGAATCACCCGGAAATGCCGCCGGAAGCGTCGGACCTCTGCACGATATGCTACACATCCGGCACTACCGGCAACCCGAAAGGCGTGATGCTGACGCACCAAAACGTCATGGCTGCCATGTGCGCGGTGCTGATGCAGCTGGGTGATCATAGGGTCACGTCCAAGGATACGATGATCAGCTTTCTGCCGTTGGCGCACATGCTGGAGCGCAGCTGTGAGAACGCCGTGTACATGGTCGGCGGTTCCGTCGGCTTCTACTGCGGCGACATCAAGAGGCTCTCCGAGGACATGAAAGCCCTCAGGCCCACCGTGATGCCCGCTGTGCCTAGGTTGCTAAATCGGATATACGACAAGGTAAGTGAGCCGCCTATTTTGCACATACAAAACAAGCTGTCTTCTGACAACTGTTGATAGTAGAGTTTCTCTAGTCGTGCTGGTGATCAAAGCATGATAATCTTTGATTAATCCGCATCCTGTCCGCCATTTTTGGGGAGTAACGTGAGTGGGAGTGAGGAAAACTCTGGTAGAAGCGAAAGAGAAGTTCTAAGACTGAAATAACTAAGCATGTTGCAGCTTCTCTCTCGTTCATTCACTTTTTCCCTACAAATGGCGGACGGTGTCCTAATTCTGACCAGAGGAAGTCTAGTCAGTACAATATGCTTATGACGTCTGTCATAATTATGAATAAATTACAAGAAAAATGTATACCAATTTTACACAAAATTAAATTAAAAAATAAATAAAAAATTAAAGATATCAAATTGCACTCAAACATTACACAAATATTTCAAATAAACTCTCCTCTTTTGCAATTTCTTACTTGACTGATTTATATAATTTTATAGCATCTTCTAAAAATATTGTCGATACGTTATCGTTCAAAGCGTCTCGTTAGCGATGTCAACATTCATAAAAGACAAACATTGTTAGTTGTTTATCGTTACCACTAAGTAACGACGAGAAGTTGCAAAAGACTAGTTGTCGCTAAACGAAATAGCCGCCTAGAGAGATCATGTTTCGACATTTTCGAAGAAAATCAAGATCGAGAACATGATGAGGTTTTTGTTTTACGAAATGCAATTGAACTTCTTTCGCAATGATCAATAGACTAGTATGTTGTAAAGCGAAAATTTTTTATTTATTTAATAAAATATTAGTTTTAATAAAACGAATATTTTAAAAATTACTTTCAGAAAATTTGTTCAGGAAATTTCTATTAGTTATTATATATTAATTATCTACATTCTATTATATATATAATAAGTATATATATATATATATATATACTGTATATATACTGTGTATATATTTATATAAATACAGAGTATCTAACGCAACTCGCACATCCACTCGTCACATGTACTCGCAGGTAGAACTCGTCAAATTGAACACGAGAGCTCTCTATCTTTTGCTTTTGCAAACAACTACGCAAAAGTTATTTGAGTTATTGATTAAGGAAGACTAATGAATGATCGCGCGTAATGTGGCGCAGAGCGTGACGATATATTTCATTGTGTGCTTATACGTCAGGTGCAATTTGATATCTTTAATTTTTTACTTATTTTTTATTTCAATATTAATCTCAATATTAATTTCAATATTAATTTCAATATTAATTCAATTTTGTGTAAAATTTGTATACATTTTTCTTGTAATTTATCTAAAATTATTCATAATTATGACAGACGTCATTAGCATACTGTCCTGACAAGACTTCCTCTGGTCAGAGTTAGGACACCGTCCGCCATTTATAGGGAGAAAGTGAGTGAACGAAACAAAAAAAGATCTTGTACCATTTTCCAAATAACCACGCACAGATATTTTAATTATTAAATAAAGAAAATTGGCAAACGCGATTGTACGTAATTTCATTTTGTCAATCTTCGTTAATTAATAACTCAGAAGTCTACGTCGTTATTTGTAAAATTGTAGGAGACTGTTGTGTTCAGTTTGACGGGTTTTACATATGCATATGAGCGCATATGCGAATTGCATCAGACTCACCCTGCATTTATTATTTGCATCATCAGTTATTGTATATTTATTATAACTTATGAAATTGTTGTCTCTTTGCGAAATGTCTGTTTCGCGATGTTTTCCGGTTTTCCTCGCACGGTTGTTCCGTTTGCGCATCGTTCTACATTAATTCTACACGGTAGTTTTCGTTCGACGATCGGTCTACGAATCATCGCGCATTTAGTTCGAGCGTTACGCGCTCGCATGCCTATTTGTCAGCGTGGTGTTTATTTCGAGTGGTTTATCGACGTTGTCCGCGCCTGGTTTGCCATTTATTTTTAGTTTGCACTCAGTCGGTCCGCTGGACTTGCGTGACATATATTCCACCTTCAATGATCTCAGCCTATCTCTTCCTTCCCCCTCCTTAAACACATCCCCGGAATCTGTTGGTGGATCATCTTTGTTTAGATAACCGTAATTTCATTCGCGCAATAACAGTTCATCCCACACATCGTGGCGATAAATACCACGAGTTGCATGATCCTAAACACAACATGTAATTCGGATTTCTAAACAATGTTAGCCCGGAAGAAGTCACCATTTACCCCGCATAATCAATAAAAGACGGTTATATAGTCACGACGGACACGAACAAATGTCTTCACCTATCAAATGGACGATCTCTCGTTACAAAGCTCACAAAAGTGCTGAGACATTTTTGCGCGACGATCTCTTTTGGCGGTCGCGCTCTTCCTTTTCCTCTTTCTCTTTCTCGACCGTTAACATCGAGGTAATTTGTCAAACAGTTTCCACGATGCTTGCGTTCGCAAGTAACCGGAAATTACTGCGCGCGACCCATTGTCAAGCGAAGGTTACAGCTGGACACCGCCCAATATTTTTACGACGCGACGATGGCGTTCCGCGTAATCTCCCGGCGTTGTAAACGCGGATACTCCTTTCATAAGATTCGCGCATTGCCGCGCACCTGCGATGCTCAATTAGCGCGCGCGAATTTTCCCTCCGACTGCGCAATATCGCGCAACGTGCCAATGCCGCGCCGTGTCGAGCACGTAGGAGAGAAGAGACAGATGCGACAGCACAGCAGCCGACGACGACCCGACGACGTAACCCTGAAGTCCATCTGAATGAGGCGCGTGGTTCGATCACGCGCAACGTGACGACGCGCTCGCGTATACACCATTGAATTACTTTTCGCGTATTTTCGCTCGTGCCGCGTGCTACCACCTACTCACCCACCCACGCATCCTGCGCTCGTCGTCGATTCGACATTTTTTCGCGAATACGACAGCTCGGAAACTCGCTGCTCGCGATGCGAAACTCCAAACTCCGAGACTGAAACTCGTATTGATAGTTGCCACCTGAGACTTGTCTGATGTAAGATGTTCAGATTTCTATTTAGAGTTTAGATCCAGTTTTTCCAGTTGAATTATGATTTAAGTGACATTCGTATCTGTAATCGCGTGATTCATGATGAAAAACATTCTCATCTAACTCTTGATTCACGTCTGAGTATCTCATTTGAGAAGACGAGTGTCACGTAATAACTATTAAGAGAATGATAAGACCTATAAGAGTCTACAAGAGCCGTGCGCTGGATATTGTGCGAATAAATTTGAATGGGAGGATGATAATATTTGACAGTATATGTTAGTGACGCATGCGTCAAATATTTTTCTAGCAGTGTTGCTTGAAACTTTAAATAGAAATAAAAAAGAAATGCGATTTTTTTAGAATTTTAAAGGCGGGAATTACACAATAATAGGAATTAGGATTCAGGGTCAGTTTGACGCGTGGAAGCTTGATTTACCGCGTATGTTATAAGATCGAAAAAATATTTGGCGTCTAATACTGCTAAACATTTTATCATCTTCTCATTTAAATTTATTTACATCCACAGCTCTTATTGACCTTATCTTTCTTTCAATTGAGTACCTTATACCTGCAAAGCCTTTGATGTATATAGTTTAATAACTATTAATATAGTCCTGAGAGTGATGTAGCTAATAAAACAGATCTCACGTTTGAAGATGAAATCGTCCTAAGACGACCTTAAGTATAAGGTCCATGAATACTATTCTGAGAGCTAACACTCGCTGCGTTTTCGCAGGTGCAAGCTGAGCTACAGAGCTCGTTCCTAAAGAGGATGATCTTCAACATGGGCATTCGGGCCAAGGAGACGGAGGTCAAGAAGAGCATAGTGAGGAACAATAGCATTTGGGATAAGATCGTGTTCAAGAAGATCCAGGAATCGATGGGCGGCAGGCTGAGGCTGATGCTAGTAGGCTCCGCGCCGTTAGCGGGCAACGTCCTCACCTTCACCAGATGCGCCCTGGGCTGTCTGGTGGTCGAAGGTTACGGCCAGACGGAGTGCTGCGCACCAATAACGCTCACTATTCAGGTGTGTACATGGGTCAGATAACTGATTGACGGCTAAGTCGAGTAACGCGATCAGATGATTCTACACTGAGAGAAAAATATAGTTGCTTTCGGCGTCAACTATACTTTTTTAACCAGAAAAATAATTAGACCATCTTTCTAATAACGCTTACTAAACAATGGTTTTTCTAATTATTTTTATGGTTAAAATTACAAAAGAGTATAGTTGATGCAAAAGGCAACTATATTTTTCTCTCAGTGTACTGCGCTGATACGCAGATAAGAGTCTCAAAGGATCAATCGGTAGACAGCGTGGAGGGATGACGGTGTGTGATCTCTCTCTCTCTCTCTCTCTCTCTCTCTCTCTCTCTCTCTCTCATCGTGG